ATATATCGTAGTCGTCGTGTTCATAGTCGTCGTGTAGGTCGACGTTCCTCACGAACCACGGAGCCCCGACGGCTAACCTGCAAAAGCGGGATTGAAGGGTGTGCGGGCCGCGTGAGCGAACACCACACTCGCGTAAGTTATGACGGGCCTTATGCAAGTTTTGTAAAGTGTCACCTTGTTCCGAAGGGACATTTTACTGCGCTTACAGATCATGGGATAGAGTCTGCCGAGAATAAATGCGGCACGGTTGCGGACTGTTTTTATATGCAGGCGGAATGTCATGGATGCATCCAGGGTGACTCCCATGTACTTCAATGAATGAATGAAATAAGCGGTGAGTTTCCCTTTTGAAATAACACTGCTGTGCTTTTCGCTGGGTTGTTGTCGTCAGCGAATAAGGCTAGCTGGGTCGGCGACGACCGGGGAATATCTATATATATATAAAAATGAATTGCTATTCGTTAGTCTCGCTAAAACTCGAGAACGGCTGGACCGATTTGGCTAATTTTGGTCTTGAATTGTGGAAGTCCAGGAAAGGTTTAAAAGGTGGATAAATATGAAAACGCTCGGAATTAAATAAAAATAACAATTTTGTTTTCCCTTTGATGTCCCCCCCGTCGGACGGATTCCTTTTGTTTTTTTAAAAGTTTATTTTATACAAAAGCTTAGGTCTTTTATTTATCGATTGAAGCACTACGAAGTCTGCCGAGTCAGCTAGTCGTTAATAAATAAACTAAATAGGAGCGGAGAGAGAACGGAGCCTTGCGGGACTCCAGCCGTGAGTGGTCGCGGGGAGGAGCGGGTTCCCTCTACTCGATATCGAAAAGAGCGTTTCGACAAGAAGTCCCGTATGATAAGCACGAGATTGTCCGGTACACCCATGTTGAAAAGTTTGAAAATCAAACCGTTGTGCCAGACTTTGTCGAACGCTATTGCCACATCGAAGAAGAGGGCTCCCGTGTATAATGGTTTTGGACGGTTAAGCCCTTCCAGAATGTGCTCCGTGAAGCGGTGCACCTGTTGTGGGCATGAGTGATTTGCACGGAATCCGAATTGTTCATCGATGAGAATGCCCTTGGATGAGACGAAATCTCCGAGGCCTTTGTAGAGCAGACGCTCATACAGCTTGCCCAGAGACATGAGGAGGCTAATCGAGTGGTAACTCGTCGGATTATTTTTTGGTTTACCGGATTTGTGTATGCCGATAACGTCCACTTCTTTCCACGCCGCGGGATAGATACAGTTAGTCATAACGGCATTGAAAATAGATGCCAACATCACGATGACTTGGATAGGTAAAAGTTTAATAACGCGGTTAGATATACCGTCGGAACCGGGAGCCTTGCGAGGACGTAGGTCTTTGATCAGGTTTTTAACTTCCATTGGGGTGACGGGTGGTAACGCACCCGAGGGTGGCAAGGAGGCTCTGCGTTCTAACTCACTGTCTACTAATTATACATGAACAGGGTCCGCGGATTGAATGCTGGGCGTGCATTCGCGCATTCGTGCGTGCAAGCTTGCAACGTACCGGCCAGCAGCTCTGCTTTTTCGTTATCATCGAACGCTGCGAGTCGGCCTGAGGGGCCTACGAGAGGGGGCATAGTTACTACCGTATCCGATTTAAGAGTACGAGCTAAGCGGTAGTAAGACCTTGGCGCGAGTCCTTCTAAGAAATCAGACCATCTGGCATCTCGGACTTCGGCGATGCGGGACTTACTGGTGGTAGGACCTCTTGTGAGTCCGCATGGGTAGGTACCACCGCCCCGCCTATTTCTGCCGTGAAGCAGTAATGCGTTTCGGTTTGAAGGGTGGGGCAGCCGTTGTAACTATACTGATACCTTACAACTTATATCTCAAGGTGTGTGGCGCATTTACGTTGTAGATGTCTATGGGCTCCAGTAACCACTTAACACCAGGTGGGCTGTGAGCTCGTCCACACATCTAGGCTATAAAAAAAAAACTCTACGTCGCGTTGTAGGGTACGCATTCGAATACGATTTTCCTCGGTAGGATGCCTATCGTAGGCGCGGATCGAGGCATTCTTAGCTCTAAGGAGTTCACTAACATCGTCGGACAATTTGAAGCGGTGAAGGAAGTCCTCCGCTACAAGTTGCTTCGATGACCTGTCTAATGTCGAGGTGATGTGTGACGTTACGATGTCTATGGCTTCAGCGGTATCCTGAGGAGACGGGGTAGAGTCTAAGCTAAACGGGAGCGATGGTGGATCAGATTCAGCTAGGCTGATGCCCAGCGTGTGCCAGTCCACCACAGTCCTCGTGACGGGAATGGTATCGGGAGCGCGACCGAGCTTCATAACGACGGGACGGTGGTCTGAATCTAACTCTGAAACTACTTCGATCGCGTGTAAGCGCAGAGTTACGTTTTTCAATAACGCTATGTCGAGTATATCCGGGCGATGCACGATATTTAGCGGGTAGTGAGTCGGGGTTAGCGGAGCGACGATATCGAAGGCGAGATCATCGACTAACGCCTCGAGCCGTCTGCAATTAGGGGTTCTGGTGTGCGAGTTCTACCTAATGTGTTTTCAATTTAGGTCGCCCGCCAGAATGACAAAGCTTCCCATGCTAAGCAGCGCCTCGATATCACTGCTTAGAACGATCTTATCCGGTGGAAGATAAACGGATGCGATAACGATCGGCCCGTGTCCCGTCAGTAAGATTCGGCACACTGATGCTTCGATGTTAGCGAGCGCGGGAGGATCGAGCGGGACCCAATGCAGGGCTCTTCTATAGTAAATGACGGTACCACCACCACGAGCAGTGAGCCTGTCGTTCCTAACCATGGTATAGTTCGCGATTTTAGTGGCGCGACGCGCGGGCTTGAGTAGGGTCTCCTGTACTAAAAAAATGTCAGTTTGATGGTCACCCAAAAAATCACAAATCTGATCACGTTGATTTGCGAGACCGTATGCGTGAAAAAATCCTATCGTTACGGATAGGGGTTTCATTCTACCTACGTACGCCATTGATTACCGGCGGAGTGAGGGGAGGACGTACGTATTTAACGACGCGTATACGTCAGTGTATTCCTGCACAACGGCGATGAAGTGCTGTGCAGTGGAGGCAGTGTGGATGGCGTCGCCCAAAGTGTTAACGCGCTCAAAGTTAATTGACTGAAAAAAGTCGATCGCTAGAGCGAGATTGTCGGACGTGGTCGGACGGCAAGTCGCGGAAGAGGGACTATCGGCGGGGAGGGACGAATCGCAGGGGCGGGACGAATCGCAGAGGGGGGAGTTAGAGCCGTGTTGGTGTACGGCAACGGTTTAGCCCAAGCCGAGACGCTGGGCACCGGCGCCGGCACGAAGGTAGTTTTAGCTTTTGGCAGAGAGAGTGCCGAGACTTTGGTGTCAGGGCCGGAAGCGCGGAGGCGGTTTTGACGAGCGACGCGGCGATTAATTTTGGACGCAGCTAGGCGGTTCTGTCGCGGTTTTTTGGTCGCGATTGCATACGGCCGTAGCGTGATCGCCTAAACACTTGACGCATCGAGGCCGCGCGTGACAGTTACGGGAAGAGTGCCCGCACAGTTGGCAGTTATGGCACTGGCTCGGAGTGACTTTGTGGGGGGTTTCCACGGTTATTCCGGAGAGCCTACAGACTGTTCGGACGTTGAAGATTTGTTTACCCTCGAGGCTAGCCTGGAGGGCGACGAGAATCATATTGTACGGTTCCCTCCCGCGTCCTGTGTGCATGCGGTGAAGAGAATTGACCGGCAGACTTGTTCTAGAAGGTCAGCCTTGACGAACTCGGCATCTAATTCTTTCGGGATGCCGCGTATGACCGCGTGGAGTTCACGCTCCTCCTGAACCGTATAAGTGTGAAAGCTTATACGATCCTTAGGGAGGTATGAAGAGAGGGCCCTATGGTCGTCGGGTGATGGCACCTTTATTTGAATGCCATTAGCGAGATTCCGGGCGCTGATGAAATAAATTTTTTTGGCCTTAAGGGTCAGGAAAACCCGGTCCCACGCTGCCTTCTCTTGAAGGATAGGATATCGGGGAAGGAGTCTGAGTTTTAGATTGCGCCACCGGACGCAGCGACGGTGTGGCACGGACAGCGGGAGCGACGGGGGTTGGAGGGCGGGGACGCGACCCATTCGCGGCTTTGCTTATTTTGGCGGCCGCGGGAGCTCGGGCCTCCGCGACGCGCTTTATACCTTTTTGGACTACTGTGAATCCATGAGTCGGGATGGCGGGGGCAGGGTCGATTTCCATGTCAGACTCCGAGTCGGATGAGGAGGAGGGCGCGGCCGACCTGCAGGTGGAGGCGGTGGGCGCGACTTAGACCACGGAAGATCGCGTGGACGCACTGGAAGATGCGACCGCGACGGAGGCCGCAAACGAACGCGTGGGCGCGACGTTTGCTGCGGATGAACGCAAGGCTGGAACCGAGCCCGCAACGGTCGACGCAGGAGTTTTGCTCGCAAGTATCGAAGACCCGGGAGCGGCGGGCGCGACGGAGGCCGCGATTCTACGCTATAATGTACATACACATTATGTTACTATAAAAAGTTGAAAATATAATGTTTGAGTTCTGTCTTCAAATTATTCCTTACCTATATCGATTTTTTTTAAATGACTTCAAACTATAATAAATATTAAGCCTCATTATGGGCAGCCGCCTTCAGTTCGCCATTGATCGTCCGCCCATTGCAGTTTAAAAAAAATCATTTTTTATAGTACTATTTAAGTTATACGAAGTCCAGCTTTGTTCAAAAATGAGAAAGTCACAATACTAATCAGACAAAAAAACGATTACAGCCACAATTACTTTATTTATTAGATGATAAAACTAAGTGCGGAAACATAAATAGTGTTTTGTTTTTATTACATTTTTAGTTTTAACTGAAACGAATACCCATACAATTGCAAAAACGTATATAAAGTGTTCGCAATTACTGCAGTATAAAGTCTGATCGGTAGACGTCGGACAGATTGTTCCAGTTTTCGTAAAATGCACTGTAGTGGTGCTTAGTGCGAGAAAATGTTGCGTTTGACGACAGCGTTGCTTGCGATGGCCGCGGTGGCAAGTACTGGGAACGAGCCAGCGCCGGCAGCCCAGCAGATAGTCGCGTTCAAACAGAGAACATCGGTAAGTTAGAATGTTTTGACATAAATTTACTATTTTTTTGAAATAGGTTATTCAATATGGGACTGTGTATGTGGGAATTTGTAACAGTATTTTGGTATTCTAGGCCAACAGATTTTTAAATAATTTCAATCGTTTTTTTTTTTGCGTAATAGGGTTTAAAAAGTATCTAAAGAATATTTTTTTGTAAAATATGTTTAATTTCAGCTATTGATAAAATATTATGTGTGATTTATTTCAGGGGCCCATCGGTATTATGACAACGAGTGCTGGATCGCCGATCGAACTCAAAGATGCGAGTAGCACATTGAACTCAAATCTCATATTCAATGAATATTTTATGGATTCATTAACTCATATAGTACGAGAGAGGATTCCTGAGAGGTTGGTGCATGCAAAAGCGGGTGGAGCATTCGGTTATTTTGAGGTTACGCATGATATTACGAATATTTGTAAAGCCAAATTATTTACTAAAATCGGAAAGAAAACCCCAGTGGCAGCAAGATTTTCTCCAGCGGTAGTCGAAAGAGGAGGTACTGACACTTCAAGAGATGCGCGCGGATTTGCTATTAAATTTTACACTGAAGACGGTAATTTTGATATCGTGGGATTTAATACGCCCATGTACTCGTACAAAGATCCACTGCTTTTTTCAGCATTTGTGCGAGCTCAAAAACGAAATCCAGCTACTAATTTATTAGACGGTAATACGCTATGGGACTTTTTGACGTTGCACCCGGAGAGCTTGCATATATTTTTACTCGTATTTGGGGATAGAGGCATACCAGATGGTTACAGACATATGCCAGGGTTTGGCATTCACACTTATCAAGTTGTGAATGAGTGTGGAGAGAAGCACTTTGTTAGATTTCATTTTATTCCTGACGCTGGCATAAAAAATCTAAACTCTAAACGAGCACAGAAAATATCCGGTATCGATCCAGATTACGCCACCAGAGATTTGTATAATGCGATAGGAAAGGGTAAATTTCCGAGCTGGTCTGTCAGTATCCAGATATTGACATTAGACGATGTCAAAAATGCAAAATTCGATGTTTTTGACGTGACAAAAGTATTACCCCAAGATGAATTTCCCCTAAAGCCACTCGGTCGTTTGGTTTTGAACAAAAATCCGACGAACTATTTCGCGGAAATAGAACAGTTGGCGTATAGCCCAGCAAATCTTGTGCCGGGCATTTTGGGAGGACCGGACAAAGTTTTCGAAGCTAGACGCTTAGCGTATAGAGACGCTCAATATTACCGGCTAGGTGCTAACTTTAATAAAATATCGGTAAATTGTCCGATTCAAAATCACGTACTTGCTTACAATCGCGATGGTCGACCACCCGTTAAGGATAATGGTAAAGATACCCCCAATTATTATCCTAACACGTTCAATGGACCGGTGCCTTACAAAGACGAGAATAGGGTTGACCTTATCNGCTTAGCGTATAGAGACGCTCAATATTACCGGCTAGGTGCTAACTTTAATAAAATATCGGTAAATTGTCCGATTCAAAATCACGTACTTGCTTACAATCGCGATGGTCGACCACCCGTTAAGGATAATGGTAAAGATACCCCCAATTATTATCCTAACACGTTCAATGGACCGGTGCCTTACAAAGACGAGAATAGGGTTGACCTTATCGAGATATACCAAGATGATCCTAACAACTTCGATCAGGCTAGAGAGCTGTATATGAACGAAATGACGAAAGGGGAACGAAGCAGACTAGTCGAAAATATTCTGTATAGTCTTGGCGGTGTTATCGAAGAATTGCAGGATAGGGCAGTGAAACTTTTCACAATCATACACCCAGATCTTGGTTACAGAATATCTCAAGGTCTAAAAGTGAACCGAACGTCGTACTACAGGGATGATGAATAGCTTAGTAATAATTATAATAGATAAATTATCAAGATCAAAACACACGCGGTCATGTAGACCTAAATTTATAGTTAGGAGTTAGAGACTTATAAACATACTTATATATACGTTTATATCATGCATATATGTGTATATACATAATAAGTTAGGGAAAAAGGTTCTTCGCATTTTTTATGAAAATTCACAACATTTTTTAATATAATTTATTTACATTTAAAACTAAAGTTTAAGTAGGTGCCATTTTGTTCGGTAACTTTTTGCCATCTTGTAGGTAGGGACATGATCCCGTTGCTATAGAAATTTTGGGGCTTCTGATCAATACCGTGACAATTGGTTTTGGAAGTCCTCTCGTGATGTTAACCTGACACTGCCTAAAGAATTCTGAAGAGACCGAAACAGGTGGAAAGCTGAAGGTGCAAGGTCAGGACTATACGGCGGATGCATTAACACCTCCCAGCCAAGCTCTCTTAATTTTTGCTGAGTGGCTAAAGATGTGTGGGGTCTAGTGTTATCATGATGAAAAACCAAACCTCTTCGTTGATTAATTCCGGCCGCTTTCTCTCAAGTTCTTGCTTTAATCTCATCAGTTGTTCGCAGTAGAGTTCAGAATCGATTGTCCTGCCTGGCGGTTACAGCTCATAATGAATAATGCCCTTCCAATCCCACCTCACACACAGCATCACCTTGTTGCGAGTTAACCCTGGTTTCACCATAGTCTGTGAAGCCTGACCGGCCTTTGACCAAAACCTTTTTCGCACATTCTTGTGGTACGTGATCCACTTTTCATCACCAGTTATCAGCTTCTTCAAAAATGCTTTGGTTTCATTACGTCGTAATAAAGAATCACAAATGAGTACAAGGTTCATTAGGTTTCTTTCAGTGAGATCGTGAGGTACCCAAATATCGAGCTTTTTTGTGTACCCAGTTTCTTTCAAATGCGCCAAAACTGTTTTGTGGTCAATTCCCTACTTTTGTCGTAACTAACTGATATGCCGATCTTGCTCCACTATTTCAAAAATGGCATCCATTTTATCCGTAATAGGGTAACCAGAGCGACTTGCATCTTTGACCTTAAAATTTCCAGATTGAAAACGGTTAAACCAAATTTGTGCTTCTCTCACAGACACTGCATTAGGTCCATAAACATCGCAAATTTTTTTCGCGGCTTGCGTTACCTTTTTTGTAGTAAAATCATAAAAAGTATCGAATTTCCTTATTGGATTCATTTATCTTGACAGTACAAAAAATAAATAAAAATCACACATTTTCCTAATTAGAATTTGGAATTATCTTTTTTAAAATTTAAACTTTTAATGATACCAAAACCAGCCAGATACAAAAAGTATAGCGAAAGAGATTTTATTACAAGTTTATACATACTATAATATGAAAAGACTTTTTCCCCAACTAATATATATAAATGTATAATGTATATAAATATATGTATATATAATGTATATAAATATATAAATGTATAAATGTCGATAATGAACATATACAGATATAGAGCGAATAAATATTTTCGTCGAACGTTTACCCTAAGAGGAAATCGAACCCACAACCCTAATATAAAATACTGGTTAATTAATATTTTACCAACAAAAATGTTAATTGTGGAGAGCACGCTTGGCGCGTTGCTCTGGATTCGACGAGCAACGCGCCGCCCTCGTCGCGGTCACAGGAAAGGACCTCTCGCTGCCGCGCGTCGTGGCTACGATGCTTGGCAGCGACGCGTCCTGGAAGGCGATGCTCGATTTCTGCGAGTCTACCATCTCGCAGAAGGAGGCGGCGGAGCGAGAGAGGGAGAGCTCTTCCCTCTCCGCACCGATCCGTCGCCGTCGAGCCGGGGGCTGGAGGCGGAAATACGCCCGTACGTCCCGGCCCCTATAGGTAGCGGCCTCCCCTCGGTGAAGGTCAAGGGGCGACCTGAGGGGGTAGAGGCCGCGCGGTGCGCTACCAGCACTCTAGCGCGCTGCCGAGGAGTAAATAGAGCGACCGGTTGGCGGTGTATCGCGTTCCGAGCCGGCAGGCTGGTTCTGGTCCAGCGGGGTATTCCGGGACACCAGCGGCACCGTCTGGGCGGCCTGACGGGCTGCCGTACCGAGACGGCCGACGTTTCAGAGCCTTCGATTCGCCTCGAAGGCTCCGTCGGCTGGGCGTCCTTGGGTTGAGTCGCGCCGTCTGGTTGTAGTGTTGACCACGGTAACCCCCCTACCTCATCCGGGTTCTGGCCTCGGAGGGGATCGGACGTTAGGTAGCAGAGTGCAGGGTAGTCGTTTCGTGGGTGGGCCCTAAAATCCTTGGGCCCGCGGTCTGCTCACAACACCATGTAGATCGTTGTCTCACATACCCCGCGCACCCCTTATGCGCGGGGACCTCGTAGGAGGTTCGGCCTCCCGCCCGAAAAAAATTTATCGAGAACACGCTTCAACGTCATAACGTTCAATGTCTTTTTAGCAATGCAGTTAACAAACCTTGATTAAAATCTGGGTGAGGAAGCTCTCAATGATCAATAGCTAAAATATTTTTTGTATACTTTATGAATAAATAATATATGTTAATAGTGTGGAATTGTTTTTGTTTTATTACTGATTAATAGTAGTAGGGTTAGATTTTTCGGCTCCTCAGCTAAGAAGGCGGGATGGGCGGCGCGGACACGTGGCTTCCATTTATCTCCCGTCACGTGCGATGTCCCGTGGGATCTTCCCGGAAATTAAATCCCGTCCTATTTTTAGGATGGGTACCGACGCACGCGGACTTTCGGCCCGCACTATGCAGTACCATGGGTTTCGTGGAGTCGGAGTGGAGGAGCTCGATGGGGTCTGGCCGGTAGTCGGTTTTGCGGGGCGGGTCTTTCATGGTTGAGTAATCTCCCGGCAGGAATTGGAAGAAGAGGAGGATCACGGTCTCCCTCTTCTCCCTCTTCTTCTCTTGAGACTTTGGAGTCCGACATATACCGGTCTGTTACCCCCTCGTTCGGGTATCCGTGAACAGATACCCCAGCGTTAAAAAAAAAGATTAATTATAATTTGATTTTTGACACATTTAGTACAACAATGCACCCATTAAATAAACGTTAAACATATTTTTTTTATTTATTGCTTAGATGGGTGGACGAGCTCACAGCCCACCTGGTGTTAAGTGGTTACTGGAGCCCATAGACATCTACAACATAAATGCGCCACCCACCTTGAGACATAAGTTCTAAGCTCTCAGGTATAGTTACAACGGCTGCCCCACCCTTCAAATCGAAACGCATTACTGCTTCACGGCAGAAATAAGCATATTAGCACGTTAAACATATTGTAGGTACAGTAAAAACTAAACAAGCTTCGAACGCTGACAAAGCTCCCGGAACTCCCTATCAGCGGAACCTTAACTAGTAGGTGAGCTCACGGGGCTCAAACCTGACGACGTTGCTAACACGAACCCTAGCAAGACCCGTGCTTCGCAGAATCTACCACCGGATCGGAAACGCGACCCACTGAGAAGATCCGGCGAGAAACTCAGTGGGCTGTGTCTGAACGTAAATTTACTCGTCGGGCCCTTCGTCGCAAGCGACGGGTTCGACGAGAACGGTGACCGGTGCTTGAGGTACCTAAAAGCACCGTTAGTGGATCGGGAGGATCCGAAACGACGTCTTTGGGGCGACGTCGACTGCTTTCCAGTCTTTCCGCAAGATCGGGAATGAATATTTCTAGTAACCTGTAGGAGTTATGGTAGCTTCACCGGACGTGAAGGCGAGCTCACGGGGCTCAGCCTGGAAGATTTTTACACAGTACAATGTTCCAATAAGTCGTCCTTAAACACCTTAGTCGTCCACGAAAATTGCAAAACATTCGAATAGCTGGAATTAATATAATAACAATTAAACAGTTATGGTGATATTGATTAATAATGATCTATGTAATGTAAATAATTTTGGCCGCCAGTAACTACATTCCCGATCCTGCGGACAGAATGGAAAGCAGTCGACGTCGCCCCAAACACGTCATTTCGGATCCCCCCAATCCACTAACGGTGCTTTTAGATACCTCAAGCACCGGTCATCGTTCTCGCCGAACCCGTCGCTTGCGACGAAGGGCTCGACGAGTAAATTAACCCTCAGACACAGCTCACTGAGCTTCTCGCCGGATCTTCTCAGTGGGTCGCGTTTCCGATCCGGTGGTAGATTCTGCGAAGCACGGCTCTTGTTAGGGTTCGTGTTAGCAACGTCATCAGGCTTGAGCCCCGTGAGCTCACCTACTAGTTAAGGCGACGCTGATATAGCCTCTCAAGGCTATCAGCTTAGGTAGGGAAAAAAAAGCTTGATCATTCTTAACTGGCGTCGACGTAGATATACCGTGATCATGCAGGTGGTCTCTCCAGGGTGAGGCTGCTCCATTGCACTGCGGAGTGGTTGGCCCTTAAGATTACTGCTTATTACCCTTGTAAGCAGACAGCACACGGTCCACTTGGTGTTGAGAGGTCACCGTCGCCCATGGACATCAGCAATGCCACGGGCTAAATCAAGCTGTTGTCTTCCGCTTAGCACTCTTCGTAAGCTTTGTTTAAAAAAGACACGTCATAGCGCTTGGAAAATACCTTGGAGGGGAGTTCATTCCAAAGCCGCATGGTTTTTTTTTTATTTTTATTTTATTTTATTGCCCTTGTAGGCAGACGAGCATACGGCCCACCTGATGGTGAGTGGTTACCGTCGCTCATGGACTTCAGCAATGCCAGGGGCAGAGCCAAGCCGCTGCCTACCGCTTAATACTCTCCATAAGCCTCGTTTGAAGAAGGACATGTCATAGCGCTCGGGAAACACCGTGGAGGGGAGCTCATTCCATAGCCGGATGGTGCGTGGCAAAAAAGATCTCTGGAAGCGCACTGTGGATGACCGCAGTGGCTCCAGGTAGTATGGATGAACTCTACTCCGGTGGCGGGCGGTGCGGTGGTAAAAACGAGATGCCGGTATCATCTCGAATAATTCCTCAGAGCACTCCCCATGGAGCATACGG